GGGACAGCCCCGACCTTGGGATACGGACAGTCAGCCCCATGCTAAAAATAGCGTAGGCCTGCGCTATATTTAGCTCGAGCCTGTGCTAAAAATAACTCAGGCCTGCGCCAAAAATAGTGCGGCCAACGCTAAAAATAGCACGGACCAATGCTAAAATTAGCGTCGGGCTTGGGATGGCCCGACTTTGGAATACTAAGGGTCGGCCTTGTTTTAAAAATAAAACACCCCTCTTAATCATAATAAGGTGCCCATTCCCATATTCCCCTTGACCATATCGGGCCGTACTCGCCTTGACGCGGTAAGTCCGGTCCCAAGTGGTCAATTCTATTTTTCTCACTAATCCTTGGTCCGTTTTCAGTACCGTTCGGACCGGGCCCTACTAGTCTGGTCCTTGCAGACGCAGCGGTTCAGCCCAAAAGCCGTGATTCGATCTCCATGGGACTGGACCGTCGTGCCGTCTCGCCGTCTTGCCCGCTGACTCGACCCAAGGGCCAACCAGCGAGTCAACATTCTGCTGATCACGACCATATGCAGTCCTATGGTGCGGAGGCTGGCCGCGACGAGTCAACTATACGTTGACGCGGCACGCCGCTGTCCGACAACGTGCGACACTCATTTATCGCCTGTTGTGAAAAGGTTATGGGTTGGATACGAAAAAGAGACTAGGCGCAACTTATGTATGAAACTTGTTTTTTTTTTGTGCTTTGTATCGAGTGGTTAGATAAACCATCCCGACTAGCGCAAGGTCGCGCTTGGGAAATCCGCCCCAGAGTTGTGTGACACCCGCGGCCTAAACTGCGGCTAGAGACCAACTTTGCGGTCCGTTTTTTCTGGATTTTTTTTTTTTGGTCAAAGAGTAAGTTAAATTTATATATCGTCACAAACAGAACTGCCCGGTAAAACCGTAGGCAGAGAGAGAGAAGAGGACAACAAACGAGGGGCTGTGACAAACTGTTTCGTCGGAGTTTCACCGACTCATGCGGTTATAAGGTTTGCAAAACCCTACAACCCTATAATTTTTATTTTTAAATCCGACTTGATTTATTATTTAATAAAAGAAAAAACAAAAATCGTTAAAGAAATAAAAATAAAAATAAAAATAAAAGCAAGATCTTTAATCCCATTTCTTCATGACTGATATGGAGTTAAAGTCCTTCTAAAAAGGAAAGCAGATAGTTTTTTTTCTTTCCTCTTCTTCTTCTTCATTGCATTTTTTTTTTTTTCTGTTTTTTCCTTCTTTTTGTTCCTTGCTGTTTTTCTCTCCTTCATCTTTTTTTTTTT